ATTTCAATTTAGGAACTTTTTATTTAAATCAAACACAAGATTCCAACTAAATTTAATCCTAAATTCCATCAAATTTCACAAACCAAAAGGATATTGGAAAAGGAAAATAAGTTAATTTATAGGATGTTAGAGACAAACTGATAAAAGTTATTTTGGTTATGTGTAGTCTAATGGAATCCAACTAAAGTGGAGTAATAAAGTAATCAACTTTGGATAACTTTTCACTACATCAGATTTTTTTTTAAATAAATTTAGAAAATAGGTCAATTTTATGCTTATAAAAAATGAATATTAATTGAATTTCATTCCCTACCAATCAAACACGTATGAAACTAGTGCGGTCTTTTACTAATGCTTAATGGGTAAGAACATACTTGATGTCACATACATTACTAGTGAGTATGACTAGTATTGAGAATCTTACACGGTTAATAAGGGAAGAAGACTCCTACCCGATAAGTCTTAACTGAGTAATTATTTCTAACCTTAATTATTTCCTAAATTCTTATTAACCTATTTGATTATTGTTTTAAATCATCATCTTCTTCTCACTTTAGCTCTAATCATCAAACTAAATCGAAACCATAAAATCCATCTTTGTCATCATCTTCATCTGATCATCACTTCATCTTTATGTAATTGATGTAATACCCTAAAAATTTATTATTCGTAAAATAAATAAATGTTAAGGGTTAAAATTTAAAGAGTAAACGACATACGGGATTAAAGTGTCGATAATCGAAAAATATGATATAAATAAAATCAATAAAAAAATAAAATAAAACATTTTGAATTTAATTGATTTGAGATGAAAATGCAGAAAGAAAAACAAAAGGGACTATTTCTGCCAAAAGTAGAAAATTAATTTGGAAGTGATGAGATTTGGGAAATCATTYCCCAAATTCACGTTTTTCCTATTCTAGAGACCGTTTGACCATCTATAAATTGGAGTTTTCGGCTGAAATTTTGTGGAGACATTCCTAAAGATGTAAGGGAGTAAACATCTTTGGAATTTTTAGATTTCATCAAGAAACGAGAGAGATATCGAGTTTGAAGCGGCATAGGGTCATTCCGCACAAAAACGGCGATTGGAGGTAAAATGCTCAACCAAAATTGATGTATAGTATATGGTTGGCTTCATTTTTCAATTACCTTTCTGTTGGTACAAGTCTCGTGGGCTATGGTGACTTGTATGTCGAGCGGTTTAGGCTAGAAGCTGCTGTGGCGGCGGCTCGACGAGATTCGGGTACAAAAACTCAAAATACGAGTTTAATATTGAACCGTAGGGGCTGTAAATTTGGATATGATTTGGGATTAATATTGTATATAAGATTTTGTTGAAAAGATATTTTAGGCTCGTTTATTTACTTGGATTAATCGAAATAAATCGGGATGTTTCGATTAAGTTGGTCAAAATTTGGACATCAATTGTAAAAGTTATTAATTAATTGGAGTTTCAAATTTAAATTATAAGAAATAATTTAATAACTTATTTTGGGAGTTGTGACTAGATAATTGTGGGATCGGACATTTTTATAACGAGAATCGTATATAATTAAATGTTGGGTTTAATACGTCGTTATTTATTTTGGATAYGAAAAATTCCATTGGGGAGGGGGGTATATGGCGACGAGGTATGCTTGGGGTTGACCCGTTGACCATGCCCACCCTAAGGTTGACCCATTTGATTTTCGGGTTAACTTTTTGGGGAAATGTGAATACTCTAATTATTGAAATATAATTACATGTTATAGGATATTACTCAGGGACGAGGTTTAGCCAAACAGAGCTATTCAGGTGAGTCTTCATGAGATTTTAATTGGGATGCATGCTTACGTACTAATTATTTGAGCATTACATTATTTTTTTATGTACATGTTTATGGGTTTATTACATGTATATGAATTATCATTGTGGGTTGCATGCTATTTGTTTACGTGTTTTTAAACATTAATGAGCATGTTATAAACGGGTTAATATTTTTGTCGGGTATGGGAAGAGGTCAAAAGTCATAGGGATGGCACATCCTAGGGATGGGTGACTGGACAAGGGATAGCCGTGTAACCCGGGAAGTGCCAATGACGGTAAGACCTTAACCTGACGAGAAATTAAGAGATCTCATTATTATTTCAAAAAGGTTTGAAACAAATGTGCATATTATTTTATTTGGGGCATTGTTTGTTCTATGCATGATGAGGTGTGTATGATTGTGCACAAAAACCATGAACTCACCGAGCTTTATAAAGCTGACTATTAGTATGCATCCCAGGTGCAAGAGGTTCAAGGGTGGACAAGAGCGAGGTTCTCTCCTAGATAATTATATTATTGTTATATTTCGGATGGTTAAGTTTATGCTTAAACTCATTTTGTAATGTAACTCGGTATGGGACGGGTTAGCGTTGAGTTATTAATTTTAATTGAATTTGTAAGACTTCCATTGTAATAAGGTTTTATTAGCCACTATATTTTGGGGTTATTTATTGTTATTTAATGAGAATTATGTGACACAACTCATAGTGAAAATGAGGGTGTTACAAGTTGGTATCAGAGCCTTAGTTTAAGGGAATTAGGTTAGTGATAGCCTAAGCTTAAACTGGGAGGGTATTAAAGGATGCAAATTGGATGAGCTAGGTTACTATTAGCCTAGATTGGAATTAAGTGAAGGGGGATCAAAGGGTATATAAGTTTGGTTTTTTTTAATAAAAGGAAAAGGGTTTAAGCAAAATAAGATATCCTAAGTTTAAATCATGGGATTAAGAATATGAATGCAACATAAGATTTTTATTGGAGTAATTTGCTATTATGAAAACTCACAATCAAGTTATTGGTGATATATTGTATTTCCTTTTTRGGAATTGAGATGKGAATGAATGGTCCATGTAAGGTATGGTCCGATGGGAGATTATCCCGTGGACTAGTGGATCGTCAAAAGACTATAGATTAAGTTAATTGAGGTGGTGCTCAACATATGTGGTTATATGTTTGGGAAACTTTGAGTTTAGGAAATGAAGCACTTAAAGGTTGATAGGAAACATCTGACAAACATTTATAACTATAATGGTGCTCTTGGGGAGAGACGCAAACGATTTAGAAATGAACATGAGGCCAATGTCAGTTAGGGTATAAAAAAAGTTATGACTCTTTGAGACAAGATTTGTTAGGATGTTCAATATTATTAAATATACATGGGGAATTCAACCAAATTCAAAATTAACCAACCAAGACTCTTGATTTTCCAAATCTCTTCCATGGCTGGTTGCATGTGAAGCCACCCATTGAAGTGCAGTCCAACAATCTTCATAAGCCG